AATAACTGTGTTACTGTTTTTTATTTTTTAAATGTAGTATTTCTTTGCATTTCAGTGTTAACTATGTCCAAAGAGCATGCATGCCGATTTTTGTGCAGATCATTTTTACAGTTTCTGTTGACATGGTTTAAACCTTCTACCATAAATCTGAAAGGGTGGAAAATGCAAACAGATATCAGAAATCCAAGAGACACAGTTGAATTTAAAATGTCAAGTCTGTTACTCAAAGAGTTAACCAGAGCTTGTCTTTCAAATGTTCAGACTTATTTAAAATGTATGCAACTGTTGCTAATCAACCACTGTACTAATCCATCCTACAATTAGGACTATTACATTTAGCATAATAAATAATTAGTATGCAAAGTTTAATAACTTTTCACCAATGACTTTTAAAGTTACAGCTGTTTGAAAAAGGAAGAATATGAAGAAGAACCTTACAAGACGTCCAAAAGTCAAAGTCCTAATTTTTCATAAAGACTCTACACTACTAGTTTTTGGAAGAAATTAGTAATTTTATTTAGCAAGGATGGATTAAATTAGTCAAAAGTGACAGTAAAGTCATTTATAATGTTACATTTACATTTAGTCTTTTTGCAGACGCTAAAAGCGACTTACAACTGGGGAATACATAAAGCGATTCTTCTTAATAAAGAGGCAAACAGACACAGGAACTGCTTGTAATACCAAGTTTTAGGCATTGTTCAAATAAGTACAAACTAGAAAGGGAAGGAATAAATGAAGAGAAAGACAACGTTTTTTATTTTTATTTTTTTAGATTTAGAATGAAGTCAAGTAGCGTCAAAAGAGATGAGTTTTCAGCTGTCGCTTGAAAATTGTCAGGGATTCAGCATTCCAAATAGGGGTGGGAAGATCATTCCACCAGTCAGGAATGGTGAACGAGAATGTTCTAGAAAGTCATTTTGAGCCTCTCTGTGTTGGTACCACGAGGCTTCACTCACTAGCAGATCTCAGACTTCTGGAGGGGATGTAGATTCGTAGTAGTGAGTGGAAGTAGGCGGGTGCTGAGCCTGTGGCTGTTCTATATGCAAGCATCAATGTCTTGAACTTGATGAGAGCCGCAACCGGTAGCCAGTGCAAGGAGATAAAGAGAGGTGTAACATGGGCTCTATTGGGCTCGTTGAAGACCAGTCATGCCGCTGCATTCTGAATCATTTGTAGAGGTTTGATTGTGCTTGATGGAAGTCCAGCCAGAAGAGCATTGCAGTAGTCCAGCCTAGAAATGACAAGGGCCTGGACAAGAAGTTGTGCAGCGTGCTCCATTAGAAAGGACCTGATCTTTTTGATGTTGTGCAATGCAAACCTGCAAGATCGAGCAGTCTTTGCAATGTGGTCTTTGAAGGTCAGCTGGTCATCAAAGATTACACCAAGACTTCTGACCGAAGTTGATGGGGTAATTGTAGAAGAACCTAGCTGGATGGTGAAATCATGCTGTAGAGTTGGAGTGGCAGGGAAGACAAGAAGCTCAGTCTTTGCCAGGTTGAGCTGTAGGTGATGTTCCTTTCATCCATGCTGAGATGTCCGCCAGGCAGCCTGAGATCCGTGCAGCTACCGTTGGATCATCTGGTTGAAATGAAAGATAGAGCTGTGTGTCATCAGCATAGCAATGGTAGGAGAAGCCATGTGCCTGTATGATGGGACCCAGTGATGTAGTGTACGGGGTCCAATAACTGATCCCTGAGGAACCCCAGTGACCAGTTAATGTGCTTTGGATACCTCCCCTCCCCAGGCCACCCTGAAAGACTTACTTGTGAGATAAGATTGAAACCAGCGAAGTGGAATCTCTGTGATGCCCAGTGAAGAGAGGGCAGACATGAGGATCTGATGATTGACAGTGTCAAAAGCAGCAGATAGATCCAGCAGAATAAGAACTGAAGGTTTGGAATCAGCTTTTGCAATCCGCAAGGCTTCCGTGACTGACAGTAGCGCAGTCTCAATTGAATGGCCACTCCTGAAACCTGACTGGTTAGCATCCAGTTTGTTGTTCTGTGAAAGAAACAATGATACCTGGTTGAAAACAACTCATTCGAGGGTTTTCACTATGAATGGAAGGAGAGAGACAGGTCTATAGCTATCTGTAAGTGAAGTGTTTAACATAGGTTTTTTGAGCAGTGGGGTTACCCGAGCCTGCTTGAATGCAGTGGGGAAAGTGCCTGTGAGGAGAGATGTGTTGATGATATGTGTGAGTGCTGGTTAGAGTGTAGGAGAGATTGCTTGGAGAAGGTGTGAGGGGATTGGGTCTAGAGGGCATGTTGTAGGATGGCTGGAGAGGATCAGTTTTGATACTTCTGCCTCAGTGAGGGGACAGAAGGAGAAGATGGGAGTTTTTGCAGTGGGTGTGGTTGGTTTGAAGTCCTGTGTGTGTGGGGCTGAAAATTGACTACTGATTGTTCTGGTTTTGTCTGTGAAGAATGTGGCGAAATCATCAGCTGTTACAGAAGTGATAGGAGGTGGTGGAGGGGGACAGAGGATAGAATTGAAAGTTTTGAAGAGATTACGTGTGTCTGGAGTGCT